CTCACTTGGACTGTACAACATGGCTGTCTGTCCTGAAGAAAGTCCAAACCAAACATTTAATAAACAACAGGTTTTCCAGTGTGCTCTAAACATAGTGTTCCAGTAGGAGTCAGGAGTTGATAAAGTTGAATCCAACCTCTAGATAAATATTGTTATTGATTGGCTAAATCTATTCTATAACCCAGTTGGATTGATACATCTAATTCTTGCAATTTCATAGCTTCCTGGAAAAAATAAGTTGTACCATAAAATAGCCTAGGTGGCTGACTACTTCTAACTATTGCTTTAATTTTACTGTACATTAATAAATCTTTAATGATTTGTTTATTCTTTTTGTAAGCAGTAGAATGTAACTATTTGAAATAAACAAGAAAATCCAACCTATAGCAAATATGGAGCCTGTTAGATGGTTGTATTGATTGACACACGATTTGCACTTTCCCAATGATTATGTTTTATGGCTTTAATTCAGTTTTAATGAGTTTATTTTATTATCTGTATTTTATTGTTTTTGTGGTTTTAGTTATCTCAGCTGCATAGAGTCCTGAATCTTAAACTCTGATTAGACCATTAAAAATGGAATACTACCCAAGTAGTAATTTCATTTGGTACATATGTATTATGAGTCTTTAAGTCCGTGTTATGGCAAAATATATGCATTAGAACAGGGCTTTTCAACCAGTGGTATGGGTACCACCTGTGGTACATTGGCACCTGGCAGGTGGTACACGACCATCCTAGAAAAGTGGTAGTGGAGGAGGGGAATGAGCTGAACTGGTGGCAGCACCGCACAAGTCTGAGCGAGAGATGGATGGAGCTGTAGGGCTGTCAGAGCTCAGCGGAAGCGCCAGGATTAGCGCCAAGCTCCAGCTGGAGCTCGGCGCTGATCCTGGCACTTCTGCTGAGCCCAGAAGAAGTGCCAATCAGCTGGAATGTTGCAGCATCTCCAGGGTCTTGTGATTTACATTCAGATGCTTGGCAACTGATTCATATTTATGACGGTCACAGTGTCCCAGGGTCATGTGAAGTGACCAAAACCTGCTGCAACCACCCAGCAGATGGTGGGGGAGGGAACCAAACACCCCCACTGCCAGTCCTCAACAGAAATGCTCACAACAGTGAAAATCTCGGACAGGAGGAAGAGCGCCGCTGGGCGGGCAGGCAGGTGTCTTGCTCAGCTGTGGCTTGGGAGGCACTTTTTTCAGTGCCATTGTAACTTTGAACAGTCACTAAGCGAACTGTTGTAAGTCGAGGACTACCTGTACTTTATCACTTTTTTCCTTTTTTTTTTTTTGGGTCATCAAGTTTTTGACATCTTGCTAGGTGACTGGTGGTACTCGGATGTTGCCATATCCTAAAAGTGGTACAATGGGTGAAAAGGTTGAAAAGCCCTGCATTAGAATTCTAATGCCATTTTCTTTTCTTTTTTTTTCTTTTTAAATGCTGCTTGAGAACAGAAAATGAAATAGTTACCTTGTGACATTTAGATATGTTTATACTTTGGGGAATGTGGCTGGGACAGAAAAAGCAAAGTGCCCACCATTTAACTTTTTTTGGGGTGTAGTTTGAAGCTGCTTCTTTCTAAATGAAACAATTGGTCCTATAACATAATGTGTGCTGGTGTTCAATATATAGTTAATCCTTCTGTTCACACTCTTTAGCAGAGAAAATTAACTCAGCACTGACCAGTAATTTACATGTCATTGAGTCAGAGTTTACTTTTGCTAACTTGCTTACAACTTCAACTTGTCCTTAGCAATATTTCATAAATTTTCCAATGATATTCCAATATTTTTTCTTCTCTATCCATCCACTGCATCTATTGTCTTCTCTTTTTCAACTTCCTTCAACCTTCCCAAGTACAGCTATTATTTTAGTCCATCATTTGTTCACATCACACCACCAAACTATGAGTTTCAACTACTTGCTTCAACTACTACTTACCTGAAAGAGCAATCAACTTCTGGAATGGATTGATTAATAACCATTTCCAAAACTATAATTCAACAATTTCTGTCTTTCTCATCATTTTTCAAGGTCTATTTTTTTAGTCTTACCTTACCTTTGGGAAGATATTTATTTTTGCTATTCTGATCTTTGTTGTCATTGAAATGTTTATGGAGATCCTCAGTCATCCAGGTCATGGTTGTCCCAAAGGTGATTTTCAAGAGGCAACTGGACTTTCTTGTTTTTCTTTAAAGATGTTTTGCTTCTCATCCCAGAAGCTTCTTCAGCTCTGATTCGGTTGCCTTTTGAAAAAGCACCTTTGGGTCATTGAAATTATCCTTAACATTCATAATACAAATGCTTTTTTTGTAAAAAAAAAAAAAAAAAAAAAGTGCCGGAATTCACATACATCATACAACTTGCCTTGCCTACCCTACAAGGTTTACTTTTGTAGTTGGAAAAAACACCCTTCAATTTTTAGTGTATCTAAAAGACTAGGATTTTGTTCAAGGTAAGTTAATACTATTAACGTTATCATGCACTGTGTGGCTTTAAATTACAAGAAGGCATTTTATTAATTTTTGGGGACATTTACCATTGGCATACCCATTTAGTTTAATGAGTGGAAATGTCAGCTTTCTATGAATGAAATTGGCCCAATAAAACAAAATTTGGTTACTTGTAAAAGATTGAATTATTTTTAAGAAGTTGTCAAACAAGGTGGAAAAATTTACATTTGGAATTTAATATGGATATTGACTTGAAACAAATTAAAGTTGAAAATTTGTCAGTGAACAGATTACTTTTAATTTACCTTTAAGTTAAACCCAATTTAATAAATAGATCTAATTAAACCTCATACTGTATATCCACCTTTACATCTGACTAATACATAATTAATATATATCATTATTAATAATAATACCTCCAAATCACAAGACATTGGCTTTATTCTTATTCTTTCCCTCTGCAGTTTGAATATAAAGTATAAAAGACTAAAGAAATTTTCGTAGGCATCCCAGCCTTTGAACTACCCAAAGAACCGAAACAGCAAAGTTTCGCTGTCTGGCAAGCTTCCAGGCCAGCGTCTTTCTTTCCTCTCGCTTCGCCTCTTTTTAACCTCACACCCCACCTTCTGTAAGGGAAGGCAAAAGGGTCACTCACCCTTATGTGAAAGATGGCCTCCATGTTTATGTGTCTCCCACTGCTACCATCGGCTTCAACACCACATGATCCGACCCAGCCAATCAAGCCACGCTCTGTCTGTGGTGCTCTGGTGCTCATGGCTCCTCCTGGAGGAGGCAGACAGCGCCGTAGAGGACCCAACTCGCACCGTACCGCCAGCAGCAAACGAGGATAGGAAGGGCAACAATAGGAAAAGAATGCAACTCTGGAAAATCCATTGAAAAAAGGTGCCGGAACTGTGTTCTGGTGTATTCTATAAGAAAAAAAGCCCTGCATAATACTATCTAGGCATTTCTCTTACTTCTCCAATGCAGTGTCTACTTTTAGCTATTCATCCCAAGAAAATAAAGCTATATACTACCTTCACTCCAATTGACTGGCACTACTCTTTTCTTCCAAATATTTAACATAAACATAACATGAACTAAATTTTAATTTCAGTGAGTTCTTCAAAGTATTATTTGAGGATCCGGTGAAAAATTATTCAGTATTTTGGCATGTTAGCCTTAATGTGTTTGCAGTCTGGTGTGCTATACAAAAAGATCTTTCTGTATCCCATGAGGCAAAATACTCTTGTTCTGCTTAATCTATCTTGTACTGGCCATCTGATCATGTAGACATCTACCTTTTTAGGAGCCTGTATGTTCATCTGACATTTTTTTCTTGTTCTGTGGTTTTATTCTTTTTTTATAATATGTTAAACTAAACTTTGCTTGCATAAGGAAATAGGGCAATGTTTTCAAATATAGATAGATAGACAGACAGACAGATAGACAGACAGACAGACAGATCTTTACCCGTTTCTATATCATGTGATATTTTATTATTAGACCTACAGTTGACAGAGTTGTTAGCATTTAACAGCTGACTAGTAATCACATACATTCAAAATATACCACAGATAATTTTAAATAAAAATCTACTAAAATTGTTTTATGTCTTTTCATTCCAATAGTTTAAGGCATATGCACAAATATAGTACAATCAAAAAAGAAATTGTAGATTTATGAGTATCACTGCACTTAGGCACCTTTTTATTGTATCAAGGGATCATGCTTCTTAGATTCAATGTGCAATTTGATATGCTAATATATAAAAGAGCTTGTTCTGGCTTTGCTGAATGTATTTCAGCTACTTTTTCTCTGTGAAAGTGGAAAATGATAATCATTTGTAATGGGCTGGTAGATACTGGGGATACCAATAAAGTAACAGATCAAATGGCTGAACTGACAATGTAGCCACTAATTTAGAACTAAGTAAAAAAACAATTGACTCCTGATTGGATGAGTCAAGAGAAATACGTTTGTTTTGTTTAGAGACTTGAGAAACTGAACAGGGAAGTAATTATATATAGTTTTTTTTGGGGGGGGGGAATAACTGTTTTTAACTGTTTTACAGTTTTAAAAAACTATAAACTGCCTATAAATTGCCCAAGTCATTGTTTGGTATGGGTGGCTATAGAAATTGAATACATAAATAAAAATAAACAATTTGTGTAACAAACAAATTGTGCAGCAAACTTTTATCTGTAAAAGAGTTATATTGTTTTAACTTCTGAATGAATGTGAATAAATTTAAGAATGTGTCATAGTTTAGGTTTAAAATTATTTATAATTCTGAAGTAAAATCATATAACTTTGTATCATTTATTACTTGTATTTTATTATTTATTGTGTTTAACCTAATGGAAAGAACAGAAAACTGTCTTTTCAGGGTATTTCTGCAGCAATTCTTTATTTCCCATGACAATTATGATGCTAAATTCTGATAACTTTCTGAATAGTTTCTGATTGCAGTGACTTAAAACTATATATAAAATTTCACACAAAAAAGCCTCTTACTGATTTTTGTATTTAATCTTTTCTTAGGTGGAAAGACATGATGTGAATACACTCAGTTTGCCTCTTAATATTCGCCGGGGAGGTTCAGACACTAACCTGAATTTTGATGTACCTGATGGTATATTTGAATTTCACAAAGTAAAACTCAGCGTAGATAGTCTGAAACAAAAGATTCTGAAAGTTACTGAGCAAATAAAAATAGAACAAACAGCTCGGGATGGGAATGTGGCCGAGTACTTGAAGCTGGTGAACAGTGCAGACAAACAACAAGCTGGACGAATTAAACAAGTCTTTGAAAAGAAGAATCAGAAGTCTGCCCATTCCATAGCCCAGCTGCAAAAAAAACTGGAACAATATCACAGAAAGCTAAAAGAAATAGAACAGAATATTTCTTCCAAAAGCACCAGAGATGCTTCCAAAGACAGCCTAAAGGAAATCCAACACTCTTTAAAAGATGTACATGGCAAAGTTCGTGCTACCAGTCAGGCCAATGAAAGCTGCAAAACAGGGGTTCTAGGAGTCTCGTTGACGCCTCCAGTGTTCGTTTTCAACAAATCCAGGGAGTTTGCAAATTTGATTCGGAATAAGTTTGGTAGTGCTGACAACATTGCTCACTTGAAGAGTAGCTTAGATGACTTCAGACCAGAAACTACTTCTAGGGCATATGGTGGTAGTGCCACCATTGTAGCCAAGCCAAAATACACCAGTGATGATGAATGCTCAAGTGGAACATCTGGATCCATAGACAGTAATGGAAACCAATCCTTTGGTCATGGTGGGGCAAATACTTTGGAAAACCATGGAAAACTTCCCATATTCTTGGAAGAACTGAGGGAAATAAAGGAAGCACAATCCCAATTATCAGAAGATATTGAGAATTTAAAAGTACAGTTCAAAAGAGATTATGGCTTTATTTCTCAGACCTTGCAAGAGGAAAGATTCAGGTATACAATTATATATTATATTACAATTATACCCTGCTGCTCTATCAGTGGTTGGCTGCCATTATGCTTCTGGTCTCAGTTCAAGGTATCGGTGATAACCTATGAAGTCCTTCATGTCATGGGACCAGATTATTTGAAAGACTGCCTTCCCTGCTTACATCTACCCATCCCATTAGAACTGGTAGGCGAGATATGCTTCAGGTCCCATCTGTTAGAGAATGTTATCTGGCAGGGCCCAGGAAGAGAGCCTTTTCTGCTGTGGAGCTCACTCACCCTGTGGAATATCATCCCCTGGGAGATCATATTGCCCTGACTCCACTGGCCTTTTGATGTGACCTTGCCCCCAGGCCTGGTAATCTAGATGTGCGGTAAAGCCTAAATAGTGGTTGTTTTGAGTGTTGACTGTTTTATCTATCTTGGCTGTGGATTGTGTGATATGATTTTATATGGTTTTCTTTTAAGATTGTATTTAGTTCTCTTGTAGTGTTTTCAATTGTTGTAAGTCACCCAGAGTCATGCATTTGAGATGAGTAATTACATAAATTGAAATACTCAACAATTTGATTTTTAAAAAGTTTAAAATATCTAGCTTCTATATAAGGCAATTTAAACTCACTTCATGAAAAGATTGGTTATCCTGAATTTAAAAAAAAAACTATAAATGATATTTTAACTTATACATAAACTACACCAAAAGTAACTTTAATAAATCTTTTTGTTGTTGAAATTTGTATGAAGATATGAGCACTTAGAAGACCAGCTAAATGATCTAACAGACCTCCATCAACATGAAACAGCCAATTTGAAGCAAGAACTGGCTAGTATTGAAGAAAAAGTAGCATATCAGGCTTATGAACGGTCACGTGATGTTCAGGTATCAAAATTTTAAAATTAAATAATATTGTTTCCTATTTGTAAAGAATATTAGTGCAAAGAACTCTTCTGTACATTGCCATCCAAAAAATTAATTTGCAGGAAGTTAAAAAAGGGTAATTTGTTGCAAGGAAAAATAAATTGGTTACTAAACTTTTAAAAATTAATTACTCTGAAAAAATATTTGTAAACCCAAATTCTTAACAAATTAAGCTGGAAAGAGTATGTAAAATGTCAGATGCCTTGTTCTTACAATTAAAGATTGGTGTTTTTTTCTCTTAAGAAGTATAATTTCCTTTGAAATTTAGTGTGAGTTAAAAAATTAACTCAAATTTTCATGATCAGTATATTCAGAGAAAATGAAAAGGAAAAACCACCCTTTTTATATTTTCATAGGCAATAGAAATGTTTGAACTTTATTGTTGTCAATGAAAATTTTAAACAATTTATACATATTGGGGTAATTTTTAAGATCTGTATCTATATCTCTAATGGTATAATGGAGCTGGGAATTCTAAGAGTCATTTTCCAGTAGAATTCAGTAGGCTTGAATTACTTCTTTCACTGATCAGACAGAAATGGAAATCTATTTTGTATATAAGTTCCTTAACATTTTGTTCCATTGTGTTCCCTTCCTGCTTTCTGCCAATAGGAAGCTTTGGAATCTTGCCAGACACGGGTTGCTAAATTGGAGCTCCACCAGCAAGAACAGCAAGCATTACAATCAGAAACGGTTAATGCCAAAGTCCTACTAGGAAAATGCATAAACATAGTCTTGGCCTTCATGACTGTTATCCTTGTATGTGTCTCCACCATAGCAAAATTTATAGCTCCTATGATGAAAAGCCGTTTCCATATTATTTGCACATTTTTTGCAGTAACTTTTCTTGCTATTTTATGCAAAAACTGGGATCACATTATCTGTGCCATAGAAAAGATAATCATACCAAGATGAAAACACAAGCATGGAGACTTTCCTTTAAAAAAAAATATTTTGGACATCTAAACAAGCTACCAAATCTTGTAATTTAAGTAGACGGATTAGATGAAGAATTTTTTTTCCCCCACCTGGGCATAAGCTTCTAAGACTGCAAACTTCTGACAATGCTTTCATTTTAACAATCACCGCATAAGGAATGAAGTGAATCTGATATGAAGTGGATGATGATCTTTTTGCCTTAATCCAACCAACTTTTCTACATCCTAGATTTCAGTCAAATTTGAATTAAAGGTATTAACTAGATAAGTTTCAAGTGGAAAGAATAGAAGAAATAATAATTAATTACATTTTATTAAATGGAAATCTACAATGTCCTATCCTTATCTAAAGCATTTTTTCTTATGGTATATTTCTACATAGTAAATTAAGATATCTGTGTCTTAGGAAATGCTTGACAAAATTCCCAGATTACCTGATGATCAACATTCCTATGGTGGGAATTGTGCTGATGTGAATTATCTTCTGTTATTTGTATCCCTTTTTATCCAATAGACATATAGTTTATTTAACTATAATTTATTTTGCCTTTCAAATTAATTAATCCACTATGATTTTGCTTCATGATCTTAAAGATAAGATCTCCACTATGAATGAGATCAAGCACTTGGTTCTTTTGTTAATCCAAAAATGGGGGTCTCTATCTTACAGGAAAATGTTTGTAGCCTACGAGAAATATAAATGCATCATCATAAATGCAAAAAGATAAGAAAAACTGTTCATCTTCTTACAGACATTGGAGGAGATACAATCATTCTCAATGGAACACAAATATACACAGTAGTATCAAAGAAGAAACGTGGCTAGTATAACAGAACATGTTTTTTGGTAGTTTCAAAACATAGGACCAGGAAGGGTAAATTGACGCCAAACCATCCAACTACTGTCTGTCAGCCTTACCAGGTTGGTTAGACAAGAAACATAATCAGATACACTAATTCTATTTATTGTAAAGCCACATTAACAGAATCTGGCAAGTCTGAAAATAGAATTATCCAGCTGTCACTTTTAAAGTCAGAGAATTTAAACAGAGTCCCTTTGCTCTTCCCACTATACTACTGTGGGCTATACTCTCTCTTATCTGACCATTTGACCAGCATCTCTTCACCTGATTTCCCAAGGTCTTTCCCACATACCATTACATTGTTTCTCTCTTCCCTACTCTCAATAATCTGGAGTAGCTGTTTCATCACAAATAAAGAACACACCTCTCTAAGCTAGTTGGATGCCTTGGATACCCTCCCTGATTCTGAGATGGTAATGGCATCTACCTGTACAGTTGGTAAATGCCACTTCATCCACTACTTTTAGAATCAGCAAACTGCTTATAAGGTGAACAGCTGACCTTCTAGAAATGCTTGTGATGGTGCTGCCCCCAGGAAAAGAATCAATGACTGAAGCAGTGAGTCTCCCTTCTACCTCAAACTGTGAGACCTCTTAGGTCTCATGTACATATCTAGTTAATCCATTCTCTTTTCAATCCTCCCTTTAGCTTCCTTATTCAGCTGTCATTCTCTTATGATACTGAGCAATCCTGCTTTCGTACCAATTTGCATAATATTGGTGCAATATTCTCAAGTTACTGTGTTTCAGCCTACAGTAACACCGTAATCACTGTGAAGTTTGTATTGAATCAAGACTTCATCTAAGAATTCTCTTGTATATTCTCCTTGAATAGAATTGACTAGGAAGTGAAAAGATGGGAGATGTAATAGTGTGATTATGTTCCTTGTTTTAAGGCATCTATTTTATTTTTAGCACTTTCTTGTAAATTGACTTGGTTGAGACCTTAAGACATGCACTGTAATCCTTTTGCACATTTTCTGTTGGGTTGTGTTTCTATTGTGTTTCATGAATATAATGGTATGGATGCTGTAATGATAACAGCATTACTCAATATGGTTTTTCATCTTTTGAAAATTTGAATGTGTTGTTTCAAAATGCACACGAGCATAAACACAGCTCTCTTTAAAGCATCTACATCTTTTTTTACGCTTCATATAAACTTGAAAAAAAAGGCAAAGCTGTTTTAACAAGTTGAAAACATGTGACTGCTTTAAAGAAATGCTGCAAAGTATTTCCATGCAGAATGAAGCAACCTCTCCAAATCATGTTCAAGTATGTGCAGTGGTATTGTACAATATGTAAATAGAGATAATGCTTGCACTAAAAATGGTTTATAATTGATACGTGCAATTTTATTTTTTAAAGTAGAACTGAACTTAACAGTAAACATTAGAGCCTTTCATTATATCAAGCAGTGCCAATGTAAAGTTGATCATATTAAATCCTGTAAACAATTACTAGTAATCTGGTAAATACAAGTGGCATTGTTTTAAAGCTATCTGCATTTAACTAATTAGTCCTATGAAATTCTGATCAACCTCCCCATAATTGATATAAATATCATTCCTTACAATCTGTTCTTAATATAATACTTTCTTTCCCTCCAGTGAATCTTATTAGGTGAATGCTTTGCATAGAAAATTAAAGAATTCAGATTACCTTAAAAGGGGGGAAATAAAGAGGATTTTTACTGTAAGTCCATATCCTATTTTTCCATGTCTCAGATTAGTAAAATTAAAAAAAAGAAGAATCTAGTTCTTAATTTTTATTACATTTGATTATTTCCTTCATGCTGTATATTAGGAGCATATAGTTCCTATTAAAATTTATGTTTGAACAAATTTTAATCATTTGGTAATTGAAATATCATGTGCGATTCTATGGTTTATTCTATAGTTTTGTGCAAATATTGGGTTGGATGGGCCTTGGAGATCATCTACTCTAACTCCATACCATACTCTAACTCCATACTTTATTTTTTTCAGCTCATATTAATGAAGTTATTTCTGAATTCCTCTGCTCCTGCCATCCTCCCCCCCTCTCTCTCCCCCCCTCTCATTATTTATATATAAGCCAACAACTAAACTCCACGTTCAGAAATATTTGTATTCTTCTAATTGCAAAAAGCAATTTGCTCTTTTAAAACATTGAAACTATTTTTCTAGACTACTGATTATTCTTTTATAAAGCCTGATTCTGACTCTAGTTCAATACTTTTGAATTTTGCGGCAGAATAATGAATTGCTTCAGGCTGAATATCCTGGCTCTTCCTCTCTCTGGGAAGACACTGTTTATATATCATGCAGCCTGTCTTGAGCTATAAGCTAGTTAAGCATTTAAGCATAGTGGAAAATACTATTTGGTCACCAATACTAAGACATGATTCAGTTGCCACTAGTTTCTATACATGAGATGTAAATGAAATGTACATTTCATTTACATGCAGGAAAATGAATTAGGCTACTATCTCTCAGGATACTGTAATACATATTTTTTTCTTAATACATGATCCATTGCTGTGAATGATCTCTTGTTTACATTTATTTAAATATATATCATACCTGGATTCACTTCTTAAGAGCTCTGCTTTTCATTTTTATGGGGAAAATGTTATGCTTTTGTCTGTTTTAGGCTGCTTTATGGCGTACTCCTCCAAGTTCTTTTGCTAAGAGCCATCCTCTATTTCACTAAGGAATATTCATGTTTTTACTGTTGATATTGAGTTTTTGCAACAGCACTATTCACTTATTAGTGTGAATACTTAAAAAGTGTTAATCTAGAGATTGTCAGATACCACATCAGAGCTATCTCTGTTTTCTTAAATCTTAGATAACTTGTTGTATATTTTTTGTTCTCACTTTAATTCAAAAAGTTGCAATTTTCTAACCAGAAAACTCTGGCTTTAAATTTTAACACCATTTAAACATATGCCACACCGCCAATATTAATTAAGCTTACTTAATTAAATGATTGCTGCTTCACAGAAATCATTGACTAACTTAAGAACTAAATAATGATGTAATTGAATTTAGCAGTGCTGAACAAAGGCAGTATGCTAAAAGCATTCAAGACAGTTTGCAATCAGGTCACCTTGCTAAATAAATTTCATACATAACCTTTGTCAGATTGCTTATAGATGTAACAGAACAACTTTTCCTGAAACTGGGCTAAATGAAGTATCTAAACATTAGGTCATAACATGTCAATGTGCTTACAGTTCCGATCTTAAGGGTCTTTTAGATTGAAGCCAACAACAAGAATATTCATTTGAATGCTTCCTACATTTTTCCCCTACATCATTTTTTTTTCCTTTTGTGTCATTTGAAGAGTCAAGCAATCGGAAATATATGGGAAATCTTGAATCCTGGAATAACTTGCCGTTAAATCATAACTATTGCTTTAGATACCTTGAATGAAAAAAAATCCCTGTACATTCATTTTAAATACTAGATTTAGAAGGCAGGATCCCCTTCTCTTGCATTCATTTGCCCATCTGACCAGATCAAATAGGAGCAATTTCCTTCATCTCTATAGGATTGCCACCTGAGAAGGCCTTGGAAGGAAGCATTTTCAGAAGCTGCCCCCAATTTTTAGAACTCCCTTTGGAGCTGTGTTCCTCTGGTCTTTAGGACCACGGTGAACATTTAAGTTGTTCTGTGTTGCACAAGAGGGGGTATATTATGACTGAAAGTGAGATTTGCAAGTGATGACATATTTATTCTTTTAAAAAACATCCTTTTTTGATTTTGTTATATATATTTTGTCTGGAGAAGTGGTCTTTTATTTTAAGACTATTAGCCACACATAGCTTCTGGAAATAGATAGCAAACAAGTAATACAAATAAATGAACCTCTGTGTGTGGGGCCCAGTGAAATTGCCTTAATTGGCTCTGCCATAGCTCACTTCAGTTTACTTAGTGAGGCTGTATGAGTTCTGAAGTAACCAACTGGGAAGCTGTTGGCAATATACCAAATCTAGGGGTAGAAATCTTTAACATTTGAATCTGACAGAAGGGGATGCAGCAGAATTTGAGAAGAATTACTGGGATCAAGGAAAATCTATTTTCTGGGTTACAATTTGCAATTCGGGTGTTTCAGAAAAAATGGAAAGCAGAAACTCAAGTAAAACTGTAAGCAGGAGATTGTAAGCAGAAGAAAGATGAAATTGTCTAATATCAAAAGTGCTCCTCAGGGTTAGTATGATCACGTAATGTTTTGGTTCTCAACATTTCCTACAACCTTGTGCATCAAACAAATAATGTGGCAATGTTGGAAAGCCTGGGCCTGGAAAATAAAAATTATACCAAATAATTCTGTTTCTCTGCATATATGTGTGAAAACAGTGACCTGATAATGAACAGAAAAACCAAAAGATAGATTAATGAATTAATATAAAAATGTTCAGAAAGTTAATGTGCAATTTTAGTACAGACATTTCTACAAAATTGATAATCATCTTCAAGCTAAGGGATATCAATTAAATCAGTTTGTTAAATTGTATTATAAAGGAATAAATTAGTTAAAAAGCACTTTGAATAACAGCTAATCCTAAATAGTTTTGCTTGAAAAGAATTCCCACTCTTTTTACATCCCATCCCATGCTGCCTTGTTAATTAGGTTCTCTCTGTTTGGCAGTGATGCATATTATATTGGTTTTAGTCAAGTCAACATTTAATTTCAAAACCACACACACACACACACGCAAAACACCAAAGTATTTGTAGGCTATTTTTATTAATAAAATATTTCCAAGAAGTGAAAATAATAAGATAAAACATAGTAATTAAATAGGAACAATAATAGCCAATGGTGTGATACCACAAAACCATGTGCACAAACATACAAGTGATAACAATCGATTCAACAGTACAGTTTAAGCCAGTGGTTCTCAACCTTTCTAATGCCGTGACCCCATAATACAGTTCCCCATGTTGTGGTGGCCCCCAAGTGGGTGTGGCCACCAATAAGAGGGAGTAGGACAGCTAGGGAAAAGGGAAAAAATGGCGGACAGCGTGGTTTGGCGACCCCCGTGAAATGGTCGTTCGACCCCAAGGTTGAGAACCACTGGTTTAAGCTAATAGAAGCATATCTTTCAAAACCTTCTTAAAAGACTTTAGAAGGTGCCTCATAAATCTTCAGGAGAAATGCATTCAAATTACTGCACTATCTTTTTCTTTCTCACTTCTATCTTAAATTACCAGTGAAGAAGGCAGGTCATTTCTTTCTTGCAGTAAATGCACATTTGTATATACAGTGTTGAGCCAGCAGTAACGCCCAATTCCAACTTCTTGGGAGATGTAGTAATAAAAAACCAAGATTAACTGTTTCAATAAAATCAACTGAGGAATAATCTTTAAATTTGTTCTTTCTCTCTTTATACAGTATACCTACTATGGTAGGAATAGGATGGGCTGTTTGTTTGCTATTAGACTGCCTTTGCATTCATTTTGTAGTTTCCTGTTATTCTTATAAATATGGACATGCAGAATGGAGAAGAGACAGATGGATTATGCCATGCTGGGACATTGGTGTTGGCTGAGGGGAGAGTGGGTGGGAGGGAGGGAGGGAAGAAAAGTTGTGGGAAAACAAGTGAGCAGGCCAGAGTAAGAGCATGGACAACAGCCTTACTCTATTTCTCTGTAAAAACATTCCGTGATGTCTACAAATTTTGTTTCAGCTGAAACCCAAAATAATAAAACTGTTCTAGGTTTTGTTTCTGCTGAACCACAGCTAATCCAAAATGATTTGGCAGAATTTAAGGAATATGATATTTTATTGGAGTTCTAACTTTTTTTTTTTACATTTGATGAAGACTCTTAGATAAATTATTTTTTTAAAACATGTATACTGTTTTATGTGTTAAAACCTATTCTGCAAGACAGTCATGTCAAACATTTTGAAGCAAACAATTCAGATTTAATATTACTACACAAGTAGTCCACAATAGACCACTCAAAAGGATTATTTTAATTTTCATTAGTGTATATTTTATATTTTTATTCTCAAATTTTATCTTTTATGGAATTGTATGTTTTACTTCCTCAAATGATCAATGAAGACTGCTTCACTACTGAACACAGTAACATACAATTTTGACAATAAGCATCAAGGATTTAAGTTCTATATGCATATTTTATTGTTTAGCTCCTTCTGAGAAAAAGTCTTTATGGTAAGAATTATTTGTATTATAGATTCTTTTGCATCATGTTAATACCCTTGATTACAAATGGAAATGTGCAATTTAAAACTTAACAGGTAATGTGTTGCATATAATTTTTGCATTGAATAAAGATAATTCATTTTAATAACATTAGACTACTGAAATATTTATAGAACTATCTCATGATATAAGAGTTATTATATAAATCCAGGTTTCAAATATTAGGAATTTTGAAGGAGTGCACATACTACTTGCATGGTGAATGGTTGAACTGTTGAACTATTTTGTAGATTTTAATTTATTATCTATGTTTCATGGATTAAATTGTACCTCAGGCCTTTTTTCCTCATTACCTTTCCTTTGTAAGATAATGACAACTTGGCATCATTGATAAATGTTTAAAAAACTACTGAATCCCTTTGCACTGAATTGACATTTTGTCATTCTGTATATAACATATAATTGTGCCATGTTTGTTTTGTGGGGCACTGCACACCTATAAATGTACTACTATTCTTTGTGTTCTACAAATTTCATAGGGGATTAGAATTGCCTCAAGGACACACTGACTTTTATTTTTAAATAAAGTTTTTAAATGTAGTTGGTATTGTTTATTTAAAATATCTACTGAACTACCTAATGTGACACACAAAATAGTTTTTGTATATGTAAATACATTTTCATGTAAACCGTATTTTTATTACAATTGTTTTAATTATTTGTGGAATTAAAACTTATTCAGTCAGATGAAGATTAGAACAGCAGTGAAATCTGTAGCATATCACCTTATAGGAAATAAAAACTTACCTCCCCCCCCCCGCCAGATTAGAGGAGATGTAATCATTAGATCCAGTTGATTTCTCCAAGAAGATGTTATTTCGAGATACTGTGTTGGCATGATAGGCAAATGTAAAATGGGTCACAAAGCCTGGGTTCATCATTGCAGGAGATTGAATGAAGAATTATAGCAATGTGACAGATTTTTCAACTTCCATGAATAGGTTAAAAGTAGTTTGTTACTCTATCCACAACTATTTGCACTTTGACTTATTACAATGTAGAAAAATTGACACAAAGTAGTATAAATGAATCTTCTATTTAGCACCAGGTATTCCCTAATAAGTATACCTACAAAGATCCTGGCATAGTCAGATAAAGATGTTCTTGGCACTTGACCCAAGAATAAGCTTTCAGTCAAAATAAAAGGAAATTTAAGATATAAAAGGCAGTCAGAGACGCTTGCACTTTGGGGCGCTTAAGTGTATACCATCTGGAAAGTTCTCTGCAACAATGGACTGGTTCCAGTATTGTTTATTGCTTGAAGGAGCCTTTGGCAGCAGAATGGGCACATGTTTTAGAAATATTTCTCTTGTGCCTCTTTCTGACCTTCAAACTTTATAGCAAATAAACATATGTAATCATTGCCTATACTCCTTAGGCATCATTATTACCCATACATCCTAAAATAACCTATTGGTTTGGCCAGTAAGTGGTACTAAAGCAAGATTATGATACATGGCTAATAAGAGATATGTTTAGCCAAAGTAATGACAAAGAATAACCTGAATAATTTTTATGTAGCAGTATTAAGAAAATGCGTGATTTTTTTTCCCAGCTAAGAGTCAATGCAAGTCAAAACAACTAGGATTCTCACTGAGAAAGGAGTTAATATATCTCATATTTTAATTCTGAGTCTAGAAATTTTATGAATGACTTTCAGACCATTGTTTGCTTAATTTTTCATTTTTAACAGTATTTGTTGGAATATTCATGAACAGGAAGAGTCATGTGGTAACTCAGTCAGCCAATGTGAAGAAAGTGCTACTGAGTCTGTGCAAAAAGAGTATTGAGTTAGGAGCTGGATTTCCAGTCTCAGGGTTTTGTCTCTGGTCTGTCTCTGTAAGAAGTCTTCATTAAGCTATGTTGCTGTAAAGAAGAATGGTATTGTAAATATTTTTATATAAATATAAAGTTGTTTGAATCAGCTAAATGCAGTCAACTGTGAGAGCTTCTGATTTATTTTTCACCAATAGAGAAATTAAAATTCTCTAACAGTATTTCAGCCAACAAGCATAACCGTTTAAAATATTTCAGCCTACAAGAGTATACTTTGAGAGACACCATTTCTCATCAAGAGATTGCAGTGTGTAATGTCTAGAATTCATCATGAAGTGATAAATCAATTTTTTGACCACAGCAAAAGGCTAGAGAATCAAAACTTTTTCTGCAGCACTAGCAAATTTTGATAGCTTTGTAAAACATGTCTTTTCCCCATTCTACATTTACATGACAATTATACATATACATATATACTGTGTATATATATATATATATATATATATAGGTCTTTGGTTGTTCGGGTTTTCTCCCGCGTAAAATTGGAAGTGTCTTGGCAACGTTTCGACGAAGTCACATGACGAATGTGACTTCATCGAAACGTTGCCAAGACCCTTCCAATTTTACGCGGGAGAAAACCCGAACAACCAAAGACCTATATACAAATACCCGCGAAAACCTCAGAAAACTATATATATATATATATATATATATATATATATATATATATATATATATATCATCAAATCATTTGAAGATTTCAAAGTCAATTACAAAATATGCATAGAGAAGCTAATACCATATACATCCTATAAGCAACCTAAAGCTATTTACATTTAGTCTTAAACTTGCTGAGCTGTATGTAATTTCCTCATTTTTTAAAAAAGGACAGGAACACTCACTATTCTTTGGCAACCCTATCATCCATGGCTGCTGCAGCGATGCAGTCCTATGCATTCAAAATCGCAGCAGGTTCCATTAAACAGGGATTTTTACAGAATGTTTCAGGATAAGGAAAAGAGTGAAACTGATGCAAATGAAAATTGTCTTCATATCCTGCAATATTTAGTTTCTAAGAATGGCACCTCTGGAAGAGATGTCACCTGGAATCAAAATAGATGGTCAAAACAGTATCAGTCTGAGAACTTTTTAGCGTGAAAGAAAAACTCTGAAAGTTAATCATGAAAGTAACACAAAAAAAATTATCATCCAAGTTAAAGTTAACTCGTTATTAAGTCAATGGTGGTAGAATTTCTACAGTGCTTAGTGACCATAATGTGGATGGCAAAGAAGTAAAAGTTGTTTTGTTTCCTTGGTTTCAAGAAGGTAAGATTGTCAGTGCTAGAGAAGCAACGATTCATCCCAAGTGGAAGAGTGATGTCACATTTTCTAAAGACAATGAAGAATATAACAAAAATCAGAATCCTAAAGGCATTCGACTTGAGCAAGTTGAATAAGAGGGAAAGAACTCCTTCAAATACTTTAAGTTATATATTTTAAAAAGGCAGGAAAAAAATCCTAAATGATAATTTTAGAGATAAATATTACGAATAACTTGGACTATAGTCAATGAAAGTTGGCAACTTCCTTGAGGGAAGAGCAATAAGCAGAAATTTAGGGCATGCGGCGACAGTCCAGGAAAAAGAAAAGTTATGCTTGGGAGACTGAGAAAATTAAGGAGAATATTTGAAGCTCAGGGCTGAAATGAGGAGAGAGCACCAAGGACCCCTCAGACTGAGGAAAGTAGAACGGGAAAGTGAACGGGCGCATTGAGGGATGGGACTAAGCTAGGTACTTTTCCGAGAGACAGCTCGAGATAGCGGGCGTTTCCCACGCACTCAATAGGAGTTCTGCACAGAACACCTAACCAAGGAAATTAACACCAGAAGGAAGAACTTTCAATCCCGAAAGATTCCAAATGCTGTTTCTTTACCACAAAAGCGACCTCGGCAACAACACGATTGGTTCTAACGCTAGAAAAGAAGGAACAAGCCCCGCCTCCGATCTTCCCGCGTCACCTCGCGCTTCGATTCCCATTCCAACGCGGCAATCCCTTTTCCGCATTCCCGTGGTGCTTAGCGACGAAAACCTAAACCGATGAGGGGTCCGACCTGCAGTTTACAAAATGGAAAGGTAAAAGTGCATACGGATCCCGAGAGGTCTCAAATAAAAGCAAAGGGGCGGGGCAATAATCCCGAGGCGCCATTTTTAAACAGCCGAGGCACCCGACGCCTGCTCTGAACTGAAAAAAGGGCCGGTAAGGTTAGGATACTTTCGGAGACATTTGACAAGTCGCGGTTTTCTTCTTCAAATATGACTTTACTGCAAAATTTCGTAATGTACAGGGTTGTTTTTAATCAATTCATAAGCTTTCGCGTTAAGTCTGCGACAGCCTTTCCCGGCCTACTAGATATTATCTTTCCTTGGCTGGAAAATCTCGAATTTATAATGTTGATACTTCAGAAATGACGTTTTCCTTTGCTGACTGATGAGGAAAAAAATACTATCGGGTGTGGTCTTTTACTTGATAATCACTTGAATGTTGATCTGTACAACATAGGATTTATAGCTGAGCAGCTGCTTATGAGATTGTGCTGAATCAGATTTAATGTGACAGGATCTTTCACCACCTGAAGTTTAGAAGGAAAAAAGGCATGAAAACTTTGTATTGTAACACTCCACAGCTTACTTATTTTTGTATGTAAAACAAAATTCTACAAACTTCTGTTTCTGTCCTTTGTTAGGTTGATAGTGAAAATAAGAATATCCTACAAACAATAGATTTATACTGATAATTGTACCCAAAGTATGTTATCTAAAATGACTCTCAATTTCCCATTAAGCCACATTGATGCTTGTTTTGACATTGCTGTTTTTTGAGCCACGAAACAATCAGAAGTTTTTGTACATTCATTATCACCCTTAAAATGCTGAATTAGTGTTTTGTATTTACTCTTTTATTATCATGAATAAAACAAATGATTTAATAAGAATTAGAACTGGGGAAGGAATAAATATACCACTTCCTAAAAGATCTATATCTTTCACCATAGCTTCTTGACATAGGCTTGCTTTTATCACAACAGTGATCTTTAGTTTTGCTGTTAGTATCACAAAACCTTTCAATTTTTAGATAATGAATAAAAAAGCCAAACTTTGTTAACACACTAAGCCAATATTATTAGACACTGCAATGCTCTAGGCTTGCAGCTTTGATTGGTAAATTGTTTTAAGAAACATAGAATTAGGAACTTTAAATTTCACTTTAGACTTGGCACAAGTTTAGGCAGAGTGGAATTGCTCTCAAAGCCTACTTTGCAGAAGTCAGCTGCTGCCAAGACATGCATAGTCAGTTTTTTTTTAAAAAAAAATCTTCTCCCTAAATTGCTTGCAATCAAATCTTGAGGAGGGTGTGACCCACAATTTGAGCACCTTGTGCTAAACTATACTGTGATTTCTTTAGAGAATTCTTATGAAGATAGTCATTTTTGGTAGTCCATAATACAAAATTTAGAATTGTATATAAATCCAATAAATTGTACTTTATTAAGTAATCTAGTGAGTATCTTTCAGTAGTTTGTATGAAAAGGAAGACGTGTTCAAAAGTGAAAGAAGGGGGATAGGTATCCTCATCTGTTTCATTGTACAGCCCCGGCTGTAATGGAGTGTGTCACAATGGAAAATAAATTACCCATATTTTAGATAGAGAAATTGTTTTATTTTTATTTCTAAGTATTTAGAAAAATTCTCACAAAATGTCAGTAAAATCTGAATAATTTTATTCTATATTTTTTCTTACTAAATCATTAAATTTAACAGTTAATGTACAATTTTAAAAATAGTTTACAAAGAAAAGTAAATTTGAGCATTATATCATAAATAAAATGTTTAAATAGGGAGTCCCCTACATATTACTATATACAGTGGTACTTCAGTACTTGACATTAATTGGTTCTGGGAGGCATGCTGAGTACTAAAAACAATGTGTGCCAAATAAACCAGGTGACTTACCACATGACCCTTTGTTTTGGTTAGGAGGAATTTTCTGGCTGTTGGCTGTCCTTTTTCCTATGTCAATGACCTTCCCAGTATGGTCGATTTCCTGTCTGCCCTCTGCATCTGTCCCCTCTTCCTTTTGAATGTGCTAGATACCAAAGAAACTACAAATACTGGGACAATATTTTCACATCAAAATATGTCAAGTACAAAATTTGATGAGTTTTGAAGCAGTCAAATACTGAGGTACCACTATAGTTTTCATATATTTTGTATTTATATTTAATAGTTAGATTTGTATTTCACCTTTTCCCACGAATTCAAGGCAGTATGCAAAGTACTCACTCCAAATTTTCTCATATAGTCTTGAGAAGTAGGTTTGCTTAAGAAAGAGTGACCAACTTAAAGTCATGCAGCAAGCTTCTTTACTAAGGTCTTATTGATTATGGCAGCTCTATTTTTAATGTTCAATATTAATGTTTAATATTCAGTTGAAACTCTATGTATTTCAGACAATTTATAGGTAACAAAGTTGCACAGCCAAGGGTAGAAAGGTATTTTAAGGATGAAAATACAAAACATTTTACAATTTTTAAAAATTAACAGCAAAAAGAGCATTATTCTATTTCAAAGTTTTATCTTTTAAAATATGTTTTTCTTCCTTAAGATAATTTTAAATCCTGAAATGTACACTATATACTTTGTTACTTCTAGATTTAATGTTCATAATGATAGGATATTTTAGCAAGAAAGAAGTAAATTATTCAGATGTTATAATAGCTGAGTTTCTGTATAATTAAACCAAATACGTGTCTGGAAATTCTCACACATCCAAGTCATGATTGTCCCAATGGTGCTTTTTCAAGAGGCAACTGGACTTTCTTGTTTTTCTTTGAAGACGTTTCGTTTCTCATCCAAGAAGCTTCTTCAGCTTCTTCAGAGCTGAAGAAATTTCTTGGATGACAAGCTAAACCTCTTCAAGGAAAAACAAGAAAGTCCAGTTGCCTCTTGAAAAAGCACCTTTGGGTTAAACCAGATACATTCTCATCAAAGGATATGGTCAAGTTGATTGGCTTTCATGCAAAGTTCACAGTATCCCTCAGGAATAGCTCTCTTACACCCATAGGGACATCCAATACTCTTGTAAAGAAAAAAAAGTTTGGGTAATGGTGAATTACATGTATTGTTCATAAGTTAGCATATTTAGTTTACTGTGAATTGAACTGAATTGTAATGCATGAATGTAGATTTTTAGTGAATGTCTGTTGTTTAGTGGAAAAATGAAGTTTTGCAACATGTATTCAAGAAAGAGTTTATCATGATGTAGTAACTATTAATTGGGTGCTTTTTTGTTTGTACAGATAATTTGGTCTCTGGGGATGTCCTTATGAGAGAAAGCAGTCTCTATGACGGTGATAGTCTTGCACTGACAGCATTTTTACCTGATTGTCATCTCATTAGTATTCAGTCAAAATGGATGCTTTGCCGAATATCCTCTTTCCAGTGGGAGGGAGTGGTGATCTCGTCAGTTCACAAGCAGAAGTGCAAAAACTGTTAATTGATGAAAGGATGCGGTGTGAACATCATAAAACAAATTATCAAACTCTAAAAGCAGAACATACTAGGTATCACGTTTACTTTAATAAAAATGTATTAGTTGCAATAGATTGAATATATCAAAGCTATTCTTTTGTGAACTTTTTATAATAATGTGGTTTAAAAAGGTGAACTTGTATGATAAGCCATAACACAAGAACAGTTTTCCCACAGAACAGATTCTAAATGGCTGTAAGAATTCTATTGCTATTGTTTTGTGTAAAATAGGTCTTAGTTTCTTGAGCTTAGTATGGAGAAAAGCAATTTTACTATTTTAAGCCTTATTAACATGTTTTAGCAGGGAAAATATTTTAGTTGTCATATTTTATTAACAAAACTTAAGTATACAGATCTGAAACCATTCGATATTCTGTCACATTTTATTCTATTTCTCTTTGTTATTTTGGCTGCAAGTTATGGATGGTTAGTCTTTTGCAAAACCTTTGGTAAAAGTCTCTTCATGTACACTACAAAGCATAAAACAGCTGCTTGGAGTTTTCACATGGCTGCCTTTATGGTCCCCTAACATATTCTGGGCATATGTGAAGGACATTTCTGAGGTAGCTGGTGAAGCAAAGTGAGTACTGCTTAGGTTTGCCAGCTGTCCTTGAAAAAGTATCTTCTATGATTATGCACACATGTACAGAAGTCCTTGAAAGGACTAAAAAGCAACACCAAATTTTCAAGTACCTCCTTCATGCATATATTTGTTGCATGATTTAAAATTTTATATTTCTTTTTGCAGGTTACTTGATGAGTATACTAAATCACAAAGTGAGTTGAAACAGCTGTTACACGAAAAGCAAACTGTCCATGATAAATTTCAGTTGCTCCTTGCTGAACTTAGAGGAGAATTATTAGATAAAACTAGAGAAGTAGAGGAATTAAAATCACAGGTAAGACAATATTTACTTCTAAGCTTTGAAAATGTCAACTTCTAGTATTGTATAATACTATAACCTACCATAACCTATGGGCCTGATAATTTATAGTTAGCATATTTTCATCTATGCCTATTTTTGTTAAATGGACTGGTATGTCAAGAACTGCTGTGGCTACTCCAGAGAAAGGTTACTTTTTCAAATTAAATGTTGGTTTTTCATATTATATTTCAAATTATTTTTGGCCATTTCAAATCATTTGCCAATATTAAGGACTGCTGTTGCAGTGGAATCTTTAGATTTTCTTTGGATTAATAGAGCTAGTTTCATTTTTTAAAGAATTAAAATATTTTACTATTGCAGTGAGTCATGAAAAATATTTTTCAGCCAATATGGGGAACAAACAAAGTATTACCTTTGGGAGTGTTATACTTCACACTTCCCTTTCTTTCCATGTGTCAAAAAAATTGTCATTGCATATTCTTAAAAAGCATCATAGGTTGTCACAGTTTTCTATGGTTTATTATGTCAACTTAGTTTGATTATTATCCACATCCAACTTTTTGGGAATAGTTGAAGAATTGTGTA